TGAATTGACAGTATCCAGAGACACCCAGTATCCTTAAACAAGGAAAGAAAAGAAAACACACACACACACACACAAGCTGTCAAAATGTCAGGCATATGCGACCATATAAAAGGTTATTAATAACTGCTTTCAGTCCTAATGGCAAAAATATAAATTATGAAACTAGATGGTAAATTGTGCTCCCATGAGGTGGGGACTGATCTGCAGTCAAGCGAAGCCTTCTCCTTGATTTCATGTGGCTTGGATCAAGCACTAAATTACAAGGAGTTCTGTACAGCAATCAATCCCATAATTAGGATTTAGATGAGCAGGGTTCAATTCCTGCCTCTGCCAGAAACATCCTGTGAGACATTGGGCAAGTCACTTAATTTAACATGTGTCTCATTTCCCGATCTGCAAAATAAGGATAATACTTCCCTGCCTCAATTCAATACATTAATAATTAAGAGGTGCTTGGATACTATGGAGATGAGGACTTTTATCTATCTAGGTACTTAAGCTACACAAAGATGATGATGGAATGGTAATTGAGACTACATTGTGTTGACAGACAAATGGTAATGCAGAGTAGACAACTCTCTCTTTAGATGGTCCTTAATACATCATGTCCTCTTCTATAGCAGGTATAGTCCTTTCACTTTTATCATTTATACCAAAATGTAAGAAAATAAAGATCAATCGGCATCCAAAGTAGCACTGGTGAGTTCCAGAGTGTCAATAATGAGCAAAACCAACGAGGAGGCCTGTCGCATTTAAGAGATTAACAGATTTATTAGAACATAAGCTTTCGTGGGTAAAACCCACTTCATCAGATGAATCGGAGTGGAAATTATAGAAGCAGGGGTATATACAAGGAAAAAGTGGCTTTTGTGAATGAAGCAATGACGTCAGAGTGGACATGGGTCATTCACTGGAGATGTGAATATCCAGAGAGGGGAAATTGCCTTTGTAAGGTGTTAATCAGTTGAGATTCTTATTTAATCTGAAATTGATAGTGTTGAATTTGCAAATGAATTCCAGTTCAAATGTCTCCCTTTGTAACCAGTTTTTGAAATTCTTTTGCAGATGGATGGCTGCTTTCAAATCCATTACTGAATATCTAGGGAGATTAAAGTGTTCCCCTACATGTTTATGTGTTACCATTCCTGATGTCTGATTTGTGTCCATTTATCCTTTGCTGTAGAAAGTTTATGCCCTAAGAAATGTGTTAGTTTCTAAAGTGCCACAGGACGTCTCATTGTTTTTGCAGATACAGACTAACACGGCGACTCCTCTGAGACTTTTCATTAATGAGCAAGTGTGTTGTACACATTCCTGCCCCAACCCAAAATACATGTGTTTGCATTGCGCAAAATAGCAGTTGGTTTGTCATTTTAACAGAGTCAGCATCTAAGCAGTGACAATCTGTCATCACCAGGGGATTTGCCACTTGCTATCATGTGTGTTATTGAATGACAAACTACAGGATTACCTAAAACATCTGCAGAATGTCACTATCTAAATTACTGTTTGCTTGTGTTTCAGCTCACTCCTGCTTGGGGAGCATGCTTTGGTGCACACAGAAGCCTGCTTATACACAGAAAACAAGGAGCCTGATGAACTGCAAACAGATATAATTTATACAGAAGTAACATAAGATATGGCACTGCAGACTCCCCCCTCCATAAATCATGTGCCTTTTAATGGCTTGTTGTATATCGAACTGTTGTGCTGAAGAATTGAAAATGCCATCTTAAATAATTAAGGATTGCAGTTCCTTAAGTGGTACGTTAATTATTGGTCAAAAGTTGATGGTCAATGGGAGGAAAAACAGCTACGAAACTGGCTGAAATTTTTCAATGATTAAAATATTGAAAAAACAATAGTAACGAATTGTCCAAGATGCCAAAAATTCCCTTTTTGTAACGATTTTTTCAACCACCTATTAAATATCCACTTCGTGACACTCAGGGCTGGCCCGAGCCATTTGTGTGCCCTGGGCTCCAGGAGTGCGGCGCCACCCCCAGGAGTGTGACGCTTGCGTGGCCCTGCCCCCAGGCGTGCGGTGCCTCCCGACCCCAGGTGCCCAGCGCATGTGTGGTGCCACCCCGGGCACGCAGAACATGCGCGGTGCTGCCCCCGCCTGACCCGGCAGCCCCTACAATGGAGTGCCCCGGGTGGTAGCCTGGTCAGCCTGTACCTTGGACCGGCTCTGATGACACTCTGTAATTATGCTTGTTTGGAGAAAAGGGATTGTATGACGGAGAAATCCCCTTGGGGTTATCCCCTGCTGTGCTGATCATGCCACTGACACCCACCTTCCTGTTGTGTCCTGTTGGGCCACAATCTCTGCTCTCCCCCAGCCAAGTACAGATTTGGAATTTTGTTCTCCTGCAGAACTACATAGACACTGAACCAGTTCAACTATGGGAGGGCTAAGCTGTAAGGGCCCAACACTCCGGAAACCAACTCCTAAAAGGGATCAAACCATTGTACTCTGTGTAGAAGTTTTACACAGAAAAATTTCATAAGATCCATCCACTTTATCAGTGAACGGTATACACAGTGGTTGCTTCTCCTCTTCCTCTACCCGCCCCAAGGTAACAATTATTTACACTCAGCTTCATAATAAACAAAAGTGTTTTTATTAAGTACAAAAAGTAGGATTTAGGTGATTGCAAGTGAAAACAGTCCCGTCAAAGTAAATTACTTAATTAAAATGAATAAAAATGCTTAGCAAGTTCTAATCTGCTAAGGAACTTGTTACATGCAAATTCTTCCCCTAAACAGCTGATCTTATCTCAGGTAAAGAGCTTCAAGTCAGAGCTGATCTTTACTCTGGCCTGGGTCTATAGCTTTTCAGAGTTCTTCCTTGTCAAGTATCCTTTTAGGGTGGGCCAGGCAGTTTCAAAGGCCAGCTGAATACAAAAGACTGATTGCTTCCCATTGCTTAAATCAGTGGTCCCCAACCTTTTGAGGTTGTCAGGCACCTGGGGGCGTGGCCGTTTGCCCGCCGGGCGCCAGAGGGCGGGGACACTAGCGCGCCCGGGGGCGGGCCCCCCCTTGACGCATGCCCGGGGGCGGGCCCCCCCTTGCCGCTCGCCC